AAAAAAAACTGCGCTGATATCGGATGGATATCGGTATTGGCAGATACTCCGAATTTTTGGTATCGGATCGGTATCGGTTCTGAAAAAGTGGTATCAAGCCATCCCTAATTGGAATAGAATAGGTATCAAAGATATTGGTTTTGGTGAAATAAGATGCAGATGTCGTTGACCCTCCTGCATGCATGTGATTTCCCTATAGCAGCACTATCCGGTATCCTTTTAATTGTATTTTAATCGGCTATATATGGTGCAGTTGGAAATTTTTTTTTAAAATATTTATCATGTTCCAGTAGGTATGTAAAGATTCACTCAACTCACGATTCAATTTGATTCACGATTCGATTCACAATTTTATTTTTAACAAAATTAGATTTTAGGCCTTTCATATTATTTAGCACTTGCATATTATTGCTCTTTTGTTGGTTTTGATTGCTTCTATTGTCCTCATGAGAAAGTATTATAATGTTTGCCTTTCTATTACTAATAATATTAAAGCAATCGTTATAATACTTTTTTGAATACATTTTAATTACTTTGTTTAACAGTTCTATCTGATTATTAGATAGATTTCTATCCATATTAGACAGACCTGAACGACGACAGCGAACAAGAGGGAGAATGTGAGCGGTGTGCACTCAGGCGCTGCCGTTCTCAGCGCCATCAAAATAAAAGTCCCGCCTCGAACACATCGGCCAAACAGAAAAACTTATCGGCCAATGCCGATATTTGAAAAATGCCAAATATCGGCCTTGGCGATATATCGGTCGTGCTTCTATTGTCCTCATTTGTTAGTCGCTTTGGATAAAAGCGTCTGCTAAATGACAAAATCGAAATATAATGTAAATGTAAATAACAAAACTAAATTGAAATTTTAAAACAAGCCCCAAATCAAATAAATAAGTAACAAATAAAAGAAATCTCTTCATATAAACAAAATACGGCTTTGTCTGTGCTCTTTCCATTTAAAATTAGAGGCAACCACTGCATTTTAATCATGATCCAAACAAAGATGCTGCATACATGCAAAATGAGCAGTTTTTAATCTAAATCCGATTGTATAATTTCGAAATTTGAAGCAAAAACAGAATGGTTTGACTTCAGTTTTGTGAAACTATACACAAAAAATATCTGTATGAAACCGAAACAGCAGACGAGCTGAACTAGATGCAGATTCACTCTCTGCCAGCAGGTGGCGCTTAAAGCGTTTAACTTTTCTAAAGACAGTAAGTTCCCCTCAGACATAAATTCATATAAACTACCCCTAATTGAATCGCGATTTGTTTAGCATCTCAACCGATTTGAATAGTCACATATTTAAATCGATTTTCAACCGGATCGTGGTTAATCGTTACATCCCTATGTCCCAGTAATAACATCAGTCTTTACTAGGCAAAATGTTAATTAGAAGAAAGTGTTTTTTTTTTTTGTTTTTTTTTTGCTTTGCTTTGCATTGTTTGTTTGTTTTTTTGTTTTTGTTCTGTTCTGTCATGTTGTTTGTTGTTTTGCTTTGCTTTGCATTTTGTTTTTATTTTTGTTTTCCTTTTTTGCTTTGTATTGTTTTGTTTTTGTTTCTGTTCTGTCATGTCTTGTTTTGTTTTGTTTGAGTTAAATTGTCAAGTCTAAATGTCTCATTATTTGTTTATAGAAATGTTTATTAGTGAATTGACCGTACAGGAGAATAAATAAATGTTTTTTTTTTCATTGTTTCAGATGCATCTTCCACACAGCAGCATGAGCTGTTCATGCAGAAACTACAGCAGTGCTGTGTATTGTTCGACTTCTATGACACGGTGACTGACCTAAAGAGCAAAGAGACCAAACGCGCCATTCTCAGTGAACTTGTGGATTATGTGTCCACTAACAGAGGTGTTCTGGTGGAGCCTGTCTACCCTGAGATCACCACCATGGTTAGCATTCATGTGATGTCCACCAGCCTTTAAAATTAATTTATTTGTTTTTAGCAAAAATTTTAATGTCTTCCTTATTGCCAAAGTAAACTCCCAATCATTTCTGTTTACAGGTTTGCACAAATATTTTCAGAACGCTTCCACCCAGTGAAAACCCTGACTTTGACCCAGAGGAAGACGAACCCACTCTAGAAGCCTCCTGGCCACACATGCAGGTCATATGTAGCCTGGTGCTCTCACATTTTATGGCTCATTGTTTGCTTATTTACAGTGTCATTTTTTTTGTACTATTATATTTAATTAACTTCATGCACAGCATATTTTTTGAAAAAATTAAACTTATAAAAAATGCCATTTTGTTAAGGTTAAATTGAGTATAATTGTTGACGTTGTTACGTGTGTAGTTTAATTTGTTTGTTTTTTTAGTAACATAATTGGGGGCTCGTCCGGGATCTGACCTCGCACCTCCAGCGAGAATCATACCCCTAGACCAACAATACATTACAACGATACAAATACATTTTATTTATTATTTATTTGTTTGTTTGTTCATATAAGCCAGGGGTGTCAAACTCAATTCCTGGAGGGCCGGAGCCCTGCAGAGTTTTGTTCCAGCCCTGCTCCAACACACATACCATGTAGTTTTCAAATAAGCCTGAATGACTTGATTATTACGATCAGGTGTGTTTAATTAGGGTTGAATCTAAACTCTGCAGGGCTCCTGCCCTCCAGGAATTGAGTTTGACACCCCTGATATAAGCTATATGTAATATCTGTTTCTACATGCTTAAATCATTAGAGAAATATTAAATATTGTCTTTTGTCTCTTTTTTTGTTTTCTTTTTTCAGTTGGTGTATGAGTTTTTCCTTCGATTCCTAGAAAACCCAGACTTCCAGCCAAGTACTGCCAAACGCTACATTGACCAGAAGTTTGTGCTACAGGTATATGAACTTTGTATTAAAGGGGCCATATGATGTTGCTAAAAAGAACATTATTTTGTGTATTTGGTGTAATGAAATGTGTTATGTGGTTTAAGGTTAAAAAAACACATTATTTTCCACATACTGTACATTATTGTTTCTCCTCTATGCCCCGCCTTTCTGAAACGCGTCGATTTTTACAAAGCTCATCGTTCTGAAAAGCGAGGTGTACGCTGATTGGCCAGCTATCCAGTGCGTTGTGATTGGCCGAATACCTCAAGCGTGAGACGGAAATGTTACGCCCCTTGCCATATTGTGATGGGGCGTGTTAGAACGAGCCGTTTTAGGTAGGCGTGGTTGACTCTTAACTTTTATAAAGAATATCTCTTTGGATTTGAGACTTTAGTCTTTGCAACTTTACAGATCTTCTTTATGCACCAAGAGCTTGTAACACTCCAAAGAGAAAGGAAAAATTGAAATCGCATCATATGACCCCTTTAATGAATCAATTGTAATTATATGAATATAATATAAAAATTACATTATTTATTTATTTATTGTTATTTTTCAGAAAATTATACTTTGTAATTATTAGTAATTATTTTTTATTATTTTTCTGGGCATTTGCCATTTTATTTTAAAGGAGCATAATCTTATGTATAAGATATTCAGACTTGAATATATTCCTCTTCAGTTTTTTTTTTTTGTTTTTTTTTGGATGTTGTTTTAAGCAAACATTTGAACTGTTTTGTGAGATTTATCCCTAAAACACACCAATTTGATATCCTCTGTATTAAATGGGGAATAAAGAGAAGAAAAAGAAGCATAATTGAAGATATATTCTCTTAAAACAAGTTGTATCTTACACTGTTTTGGTCCTGAAGTAAATTTAACCCGTTTTGAGGATTTTTAGAAATGGTAAAACAAAATACAGATTAAGAAAATGCATTTTTGTAGGAGACTACTTAATAGAAAATATATTTAATATCCATTCCCTGACTTTTACAGCTGAAATGGCAAATATTTAGAAATATGAAATTGCATGCTTGGCAGGCCTGGTCTCTTCCTCTTTCGGATCTGCCTTAGTCTGTTCCTGCGTAAAGCAGTGGGTCATCAGCTGTCCGTATCGACTCGGTCATTCCCCCTGAGCGCACTGAATGCTTTGGAATGTCGAGAGTCAGTGTGGAAGCTGGTAAAGGCAAGTTTCCATGATGTGAGCGTTTCCTGGGCTGCTTTAAATAGCGCTCTGTTGTTTACACCACAGGAAGGAAAGAGTCAGCACTGTAGTGCAGGCTGGGATGGAGAACATAATGACAGACAGCAGACACAACACAAAAAGAGTTCTTCTAGTAGAGATGTGGTAGTGAAAGTGTTACTGGATGCCTGTTGTTTTTTGCTCCAAATTGTTCCTTTTGGAGATGCTGTTGTACAGAAATTACGCAACTGCATTTACTACCCATTTTGGTGTATTTTTGAAAAACAGGATATGCAATAAGATGGTACTTGGTTTTATTATTTTTTTTTAGTTTTATAATATATATAAGAGAGAGAGAGAGAGTATATTATGCTCAACAATGCTGCATTTATTTAATTATAAGTGCACTAAAATATTATTACAATTTAAAATAATTGTTTTCTTGTTTAATATATTTTAAAATGTAATTTATTCCTTTGATGACACAGCTGAATTTTCAGCATCATTACTCCAGTCTTCAGTGTCACATGATCCTTCAGAAATCATTCTGATATGCTGATTTGCTGCTCAAGAAACAGTTTCTTATCATTATTAATATTGAAGACAATTGATGCTTAATATTTTTGTGGAAACTGTGAAACAATGAATTGAAGGTTCAAAAGAACAGTATTTATTTGTATTAATTTTTTTTAACAATGTAAGAGTCTCTTTTGATCAATATAATGCATTCTTGCATAAAAGATTAAAATATTTTAATAAAGGTTTTTTATTAAAAAAAATAAATAAATTTATATAATTTTTTTTCCATATAATTACTATGTACTGGGTCCTAATGTTTGGTGACCACTTAACTGCTTGAATTAATTAAATTTCCATTCGAAAGTGCTTTATTTTTGGGTGATAAAGCTATGGTCAGCTGGTCTTTCATTCCAGCTTATTCATGGTGATCTATTTAAACAAGCCCTGCATGTGGAGGATGAGCATTTATAATCCTGTTTGAATTTTTATTTAGAGTTACTAATGTTTTAGACATCATTAACGGCCTCATGAATGTGATTGAGGTTGAACTCATTTACTAATAATGTCATGTTGCGTAAAGGCTGTTGTCAAATACATCACTCATGGCAGGGATTCATTGTCTGGAGGCTAAAGGTAGCATTACATAACACATTCCTGTGCAGACAGTCTAATGTGACATAAGAGTTGATGCTGCCAGATCAAACCATTCCATAAAACCTTCCATTAGGAGTTTCAACTGGGTTCAAATTGTATATTGCATGGCATTAACGACTGTTTTCATTTATTCTACATTTATTCTTTTTCATATTTTGAAAATGACAAAAATAAGATAATGATTACATATATGCATTATATGATTACATCATATGTGAATGAGGCCATTATGTAGCTGTCATCATGTTGCCCCTTGTTAAAAACCCAGATAACCCAAGCATTTGACTACAAATAAAATGTCACTCTATTCCGAGAAGTTTCATTGTGTAGTGATTTTTCAAAGATATTAGAACAGAGAAACTGCAGAGAACTGGCATCTTCAAGCAAGACGATTGAAAACAGCAAAGTAATGATTGTGTTAGAATATTAACTCCTTGCTTTTTTTTCAGCTCTTAGAACTGTTTGACAGTGAAGATCCTCGTGAGAGAGAGTTTTTAAAAACGATTCTGCATCGCGTCTACGGGAAGTTTCTGGGTTTGCGTGGGTGTGTTCGGAAACAGATCAACAACATATTTCTGAGGTACAAAAACACTTATTTTTACACTTGTACATATACACTGCCATTCAAAAGTTCTTTAAAAGAAATGAATACTTTGATTCAGCAAGGATGCACAAAATTAAGTGACAGTAACAGCATTTATAATGTTAGAAAAAAATTATATTTCAAATAAATGCTGTCATTTCAACTTTCTGTTCCACAAAAATGTTAAGCAGCACAACTGTTTTCAACACTGATAATAATAAGAAATGTTTCAGCATGTTAGAATGATTTCTGAAGGAACATGTCTGTATTTTTTGTCATTTTTACGTGACTTTGTAATCTTTATGTAAAAAATGTTTTTTGCATGTCAAAGTAATGCAAATACGTTGGTGAACTGCTAGTATAAACCATGTAAATGATTTGGATAAAGATTATCTGTGCATTATGAAATAAGATTTCCAAAAATGATAGCTGTGTAAAGTGTGTGAAATGCTTCAGGGTAAACCGTGTCAATTACTCGACTAACAGTAAGCTTGCCAAATCCAGGAAAAAGTATTACTAATATTCAATTACAGAATATGGAAAAATATTAAATTATATTTAAATAAAGATTAAACAATTTCTGACTGGTTTATGAATGTTGAATAATGTACAGAAGAAAAAAAAAACTTTTGGATTGTAAATTGTGCATTTAGTAAAAAAAATAAATTGTTTATAAATTGTAGTTATATTATGTTTATATTACATCATTTATTTATCATTATATTTTATTTGAAATGTAAATCGTTCATATCATAATTTTCCCAGATTCATCTATGAAACTGAGCACTTTAATGGAGTTGCTGAATTCCTTGAGATTCTGGGCAGGTGAGTCTTAGTTTGATTTTCTTTCAGTTTCTGTTCACATAGATCATTTAACGGAGTTAGTGCATTTGAACATAGCGTAGCGTCAGAGTGCATGCTGGATAAAAGGTTGTTTGGCAGCTGGTGGCAGCAGCAGTGTATTGGTGTCGGCTGGCTGCAGTCATCTAATGTCAAACCTTTCATGCTTCATGTCATCAGTTGTGTCGCTGTCTTTATAATCGCAGTATCATCAATGGCTTTGCTCTGCCGCTGAAGGCTGAACACAAGCAGTTCCTCATGAAGATCCTTATTCCCCTGCACACTGCCAAAGGACTGGCGCTGTTCCACGCACAGGTAACCCTGTAAAGCCTACTGTGACATATTTGATACACAAATGACCTCTAAAGCCCTCTAAATGATCAGCATGATCAAAACTGAAAAGCCTGTTGTACGCAATCTACTACAACCAATCGAAGTGCCTTCTTTCCAACTTCAGGTCGTGATTTATGTGTGTTTTTGCTGTCAAATCTTTACAAGTAAAGTACACTACACATCTTCATCTACACTTCCTGAACTGAAGTATGATGATGTATCCATACATCATTTAAAAAGAAAAAAAATCATGTTAAACTGTATAAAATAGGATCCATCAGGCTTTTGAGTAATGTTTATTTGTACATCTCTCAGTTGTCATTGTATTGCACTGCATTATATGTTTTGCCCACCACCACAATAAAAACTATAGAGCTTTGATCATAAAACTAAGCATTTAAATATCATCTTACTAAGACATACAGTATGTGACCCTGAAGCATGAAACCAGTCTTAAGTCGCTGGGGTATATTTGTAGCAATAGCCAAAAATACATTGTATGGGTCAAAATGATCGATTTTTCTTTTATGCCATAAATCACTAGGATATTAAGTAAAATGTTACATGAAGATATTTTGTAAATTTCCTATCGTAAATATATCAAAAATTTATTATCATTCATTAGTAATATGTGTTGCCAAGGACTTCATTTGGACAGATTTAAAGGTGATTTTCTTAATATTTTGATTTTTTTTGCACCCTCAGATTCCAGATTTTCGAATAGTTTAATCTCGGCCAAATATTGTCCTATCCTCAATTTCAAAAAATTGACCCTTATGACTGGTTTTGTGGTCCAGGGTCACATATTATCGGGAGATATAGACATTTATATGCATTTTATGTTAGTCTGTCATGCTGTTATTAAAGAGCTCATGATTTATATTAGAAGCTATCAAACTTTCATCTTCCGTTCGGCCATATAAATATCAGCAACTGCACCACATTTCATATTTTTGCTAATTTTGTGCCTCTGAATAAAAATGAGGCGTCTTTTTTCATCCAAGTATGAGCTCCATATTCTCTTATAAATGCCTGTGATGTGTCAAAAATGATATTTAACAAAAACACATATGTAAACTTTCCATTTATAATATATATTCTTTCTGATGCAGTTGCAGGAAAAATGCATGTGAACCCTTTGGATTTAGCTGAATTTCTGCATAAATTGGTCATAAAATTTGATCTGTTCCTAATGGCTGGAATAAACTACATGACTTTTAAAATCTGAAATGATTTTAAACATTAGACATCACGCACTGGACACAAACTCACGCAACAAAAGAGAACAATGTGTTCTAAAATCAGCTCAAAATATCAAACATGTTATATATCCTCTGACTCAATAGAATCATAATCCGAAGCTAAATATTAAAAGCACATCCATCATACACTACACAATTCTCTGCCTGCCCAGAATCTGCAGCCTGGCTCTAATTTTGTTGAAACAAATAAAACACAAACAGGGATAGATCTGAATGTCTTTATTGAACATACTGTGTCAGGGTTTGTTGATCCAGTTGCTAATAATTAATTAAAACGCTTACTAAAAAAGCTGCAGTTTTATTTGTTTACCTGCTTATAATGTGACCAATAACTAACATCGGAGATCTTTGAACATGCAAATGTGTTGTTAAATTGTGTACTGTATGTAGTTTTGTGTACTTTTGCGATTTTGGAGCCCCCTATAGTTAATTGAGTGGAATTCCCTGTTGCATAGAGTTGTTTTACATTTTTGGGATATTAATTCATAATCTCAGGTGGGAACTTCAATTAAATATTATGTTCGCTCTAGTGGCACTAGGTTAGTTTGTGAATCCTTGGATTGACCCTCCTTTGCAATTACTTACTAAACGTTTAATTTAATTGAGGATCAGATCTGTGCAATGGTCAGGAGAAATAGCGCACTCCTGTTTACAAAGTTTTTTTTATTTTGAAGAACAATCCAGATAAAATCCACATCACATTTCCTCCCTGCGACTGTATTTAGTTTTGTGCACTTCTTACAGTTTTACAGTTATGGAAAACGTTCAAAGCAGAGAAATTAATCTGGTGATTATATGGCCAGTAGCTATTTAAAATTCATCCAACTTTACTTCCTATTCATAAGCATGCTGATATGAAAATATTTGTCAGGCTGATTGTTTGCACAAACCATCTCTTCTTTAGTATCTACTGTTCACATTGACTCTTGACCTTGTTGTGTTTCAGCTGGCCTACTGTGTGGTTCAGTTCATAGAAAAGGACCCGACCCTCACTGAAGTGGTACTGCTCACCTCAGCCTCACACTACACACCACACAGTCCTCCCATCTGAATTCAAAAATATCAAAAATGTGCCTTATAAAAAATTCCCCCACCTGACTTTTGTAGCGCAAAATTGTAGTCTTGTCCCAAATAGTAGTTAATGGTCTTGATGGCTGGTAGGTTTTTTGACAATTGGTCAAAATAACAAATGTTTTCATTTGCTGTTATTGAAAATCAGGGTTATTCCACCAAATATTGATGTCTCAACTCTTCTGAAGTTAAAACATTGGTATTGTGTTGTCTAAAAATGAATCGAAACATGTCTAAACATGGCATCTTTTTTTGTTACTTTGACCAATTGTCATTTTATGCAAAAAACAAAAACAAAAGGAAATGTCATCAGTAATTATAGAATAAACCAAAAATTACATTTTACTGAAATCGTGAATTCAGAGAAATTTTCAAGTGGTCTCTTAATTTTTTTTTCATAGCTGTATATTAATTATTGGTTCTATTTTTTGCACAAAATGGCAAATATTTCATTATAGTATAGTAGATGTTTTGTTTATGATAGTATAATGCATATGGCATGTACTACTAATATGACTTCCAGTGCACTTATTACAGAGACGAAACCCAAAAGTTAAAGGGATAGTTCACCCAAAAATGACAATTCTGTCATCATTTACTCACCCTCAAGTATGTAGCTGATTACAAATGCAGTTACATTACTATGGAATCAAATCCATTTGCAGTAAATGAATGTATGAAGAAAGAAAGCATTGAGGAAAATATTTTAGGAAAAATAATTGGAAAATATAGACTAAATAAAATGAAAAATAAAGATCTAATTAATTGCAAAAGCCAATGACTGCTATAATAGAAGCTTAAGAATTTTTTTATTTCTGCAACAGATTTTTATCAGCAATGTTTCTGCAACGCACGATCAGTTCTGTGCACTTCACTTTATTCCATATTTTGCAATTAATTACATCATTCTATTTATTTCTTTTGTGATTTTTTTTTTTTTATTTTATTACAAAACATTTATTTTCTTTTGCAATACTTCATTATTTTGCCAATGAATTTTGCCATGGATTTGATTACGTGTGGGGGTGTTTTTTTTTTTTTTTATTTTATTTTACAAAACATTTATTTTCTTTTGCAATACTTCATTATTTTGCCAATGAATTTTGCCATGGATTTGATTACGTGTGGGGGTGTTTTTAACCCAAAGTGTGTTTGAAAGAAATCTATTATGTTCACCAAGGTGTTACATTTAAAAATAAACATTACATTGTTTTCGGTTTTTATACGTTTTAAGATATCATTTAATTTTTTAATGCGAAGCTGAATTTTTTACATCATTACTCCGGTCTTCAGTGTCACATGATCCTTCAGAAATCATTCTAATATGTGATTCGGTAATCAAGAAATATTTTTTATTATTATAAATATTGAAACGGTTGTGCTGCTCAATATTTTTGTGGAAATGGTGATACATTTTTTTTTTTAGGATTCTTTTATCTTTTCACTTTTTATCAATTTAATGTGTCTTTGCGGAATAAAAGTAATTATTTCTTATGCTTTAACCTTTTTTTTAATGATAGCGTACATTCTCATCAACAACGTCATGTTATTGCTTGCTTTCCGACGTTTCCTGTGGTGCTTCATATGAAACTATCTCTCTGATATTTGCAGGTAGCAGAAAGAGCACTGTACTTCTGGAACAATGAATACATTCTGAGTCTAATCGAGGAGAATAATGCCAAAATCCTTCCCATCATGTTTGGAAACTTGTACCGGATCTCCAAAGAACACTGGAACCCGTATGTTCACGTTTTCTGTATGCTTTATTAAAGGAATCATTATTTAATTACCTTCATGTGATTCCAAACACAAACTGAGACTTTTTTTTCTGTCAAACACAAAAGTAGATATTTTGACAAATGTACCAGTTGCTCTTTCAAATGCATATATGAATTGAAAAATTGGTATTTCATCACAGTTTCGTTCACTGTTTCCGGTAAATATTAAAGCAATGAAATGCATTCCATGCAGAAGTGTTAGTAACTCTTATCTTGTAATTGTGTCAGGACGATCGTGGCCCTGGTGTACAATGTATTAAAAACACTGATGGAGATGAACGGCAAACTGTTCGATGAGCTGACGGCCTCAGACAAATCTGACAGACAACGGTAAGATCACGCCTTTACTCTTCGCATTTAGTTTGAAATGACACTGCTCACGATTGCCATCACTTCTGCCCTCAGAGAGAAGAAGAAAGAGCAGGAGCGGGAGGAACTGTGGAGGAAGCTGGATGAACTCAGACTTCAGGAGAGAATAGCCATCCAGAATAACAGGCATGAGATCCAGTTCACTTACAGCAACAACAACCACCTTCACGATAAGGATGAAAACACAGCAGCAGCCGTTACAGACAGAATTGAGAGTGACACCTGGGCCAAATGACACTGCCCTCTTTTTCTTTACTCAGTGTTTTACAGATGTAAACCAGTGTAGAGAGCAGTAAGGATATGGCCTTCAGCAATAATCATTTTTAAAGATTTTAAACTTTTTTTTTTTTTTCCAAAAGCCTATGTAAAACTAAATCCAAATGCTATTTTCTCCTGCTAAAGGATAATATATTTTCTGTATGTAAGTCTATTTTGGATGTAAAGTGTGGTTATAGTAAATGATACATTATTGTCTAATCAAAGACGTACGATTTTCACCTGCATTGCAAGTTAGCGAGTTTTCACGAGTGAAATTCTGAAATTTCAATAGAAACCCGAGCGTTCAGGAATTTCGTATTAGGATGAAAGATTTCCTAGCAGATTTCGCAACGGGTTCAAGTTGGTCATGTGGATTCACCATGTTGACCAATAGAAAGCTGCTTGTTTTAAAAAAAAGATCTAATGTGTGAGATGTGCTCAGTACATCGCTACACTACTGATAATAGATGATGGACCTTTTCTCTGAAATTTCACTAATGTGACTGCAGTTTTAATCAGTACTTTTGCCTTTTTTTTTTCACCTGAAATTGTTTGAAATATTGAAATATCTAAACAAAATACATGTACAATAGAATTATATAATAATAATAATAGTTTAAGATAATACTTCTTGTTATATGGGAATATATCTTGAATGAATTTATTTTTCTTAAGATATATTCTCTAAGAACTATTCTTATACAATTTGGCTTCTGAAGTTTTTACTGGAAAATAGGACAAAAATACTGACAAAGGCTCTGGAGGCTATATTTAGAGACACATGAGCAAGCTTTAACAATTAAATGTCGGTTTTAAAATAGGAAACACTACCATGAATCTTGAGTTTGAAATGTATTTGACCATAAATGTGACCTGAGCTGGATATTAAGATTTGTTGCCTATAGTTCACATGATACATAAGATATACTCCATGGAAGTGTCAAAAAAAATTTACCTTAGAAATGCAAAAAAGTGAAGCACAAATGTAGTGAACCTGGTCAGAAACCCCTGTCCAAGCGTGAGAACATCAGAACAGAATCTGCAATTTTTACAAGTTTTTTTTTTTCTTTTTTAAAGTTTTGTGTTTCTCATAATACCAGCCTTGCATTATAAATGCAACATCTTTACATACTATATTTTATTAAAAACTTTGTTCTTTCAGGTCCACTGACCATGCATTTCACAGGTTGGGATTAAAACAAACAGATAATTCTTAGACGTAACTTAACTCAGGGATAACTAACTAACACTCCCCACATATTTAGAATGTTGGCAAAGGGTTTTTTGTTGTTGTTTATTTTCTCAAAAACAGAAAAATTCATAGTATGTTTAAAGAAGCAATAGATATTATAAATGAGACTCCATTCCATTCAACATTCTATTGTTTTGCTTCAACCAAAAATGGTCTCATTGCTATGCAGTTATGTTAGATTCTCATGTTTTTTTGATTGTTTTTTTTTTTTCTGTGAGAATGTGTAAAAAATAACCTTGTCGTAATGTGCTATCCTGCATTAAAATGCCAGGCTGATGTTTCATTGTTTTCTTTTAGTTTTTTTCCCCCCATGTCATATTAGTGGTCTGTATGTGTGGCTGTCCTTTACTGCCATATAGTCATTACAGAATGCAGTCACCAAATATAAAACCAGTTATCTGAGTGAACCAGCAGGTGATTAATATACTTTTTCACATATGTACATGTGTGTGTGTGTATGTTGTATGATTAAAAAAAGTTACACGGTGTAAAGTTTGAATCTAAGTAAACTGATGGGTCACATGGATGATTAAGACACAAATGTTACCGTTGAAATAACCACTGCACATACAATTTCTATTTTTATTATTTTTAGATGTAATATTAAATTCATCATGATATTAAAAAAGGAAAAGGTTTGCTATAATGCTCTTTGTAAACTAAAAGAGAACTTATTTCTACAATAGACGAATATTGAAAGTGCAGTGTTTTTAAATACATTTTAGGTTTCATTTATTAAAACTTATTTCTGATTCAGTGTTAACAATAGATAGATAGACAGCATTTACATTTGTTGTCCTGCAGCCAATGACATTCTGTTTTCTTCAGTCCTCCACAACATGCAGAAGTATATGCTTGGACTGGAAGTAAGCGACCGGCTCTTTTAATTATCTGGTGAGCTCCTGTCATGACGCATGATGGAAGCGGTGAGCTGCTTTAATCATGGAGACTTTGAAATAAAGGTCAGTTAGCAGCGAGAGATTAATTCATCACAAATATAACATGCTAAATGTCATCCTCTGATGATGAGCTGTTTAAATAGTTAATTTGTTTAAATAGTTAATTGCAGTGTTAATATGGCTGCCAACCATCCTGTATGCATAATCACACAAATTCCCCAAGACCAGGGATCTCCAAACTCCCCAGCAGGCCACACAACGTCATAAGATGTTGATATTTGGTTAAATTTCGGTTGCGACGTCGGGTGACCAAAATTCAATGTAAATTGAACGTCTAATGTCAATGTTAAATTGATGTCCAATGCTGACGTTGATATTTTGTTGTTTTTAGGTTGTGTAACCAAAATCGGCTTCGTCCACAGTGAAAGCCGATCCGGCGATCCACAGGGCAAAGTTTAAGTATTTCCTAGTGACCAGCACGGATCAGCGCTAGGCATGACGAAGCAGATATCGTCCTCTTTTGGAAGGCCAAACAAAGTAGTTCAAATATTGACCTAAAACCGATTTTCATTTTCAACCAAAATGCAACGAATGTCTGTCGTCATGTCCAACGTCAACCTGACGTTACATAGACGTCCGGTGCCTGCTGGGTCAGTCCTGGAGGGCCGGTGTCCTGCAGAGTTTAACTCCAACCAGCTCCAAAACACCTGCCTGGAAGTTTCTAGTATGCCTAGTTAGACCTCGATTAGCTGGTTCAGGTGTGTTTAACTGGGACTGGAGCTAAACTCAGCAGGACACCGGCCCTCCAGGATTGAGTTTGATGACATGTATCTTCTGCACATTTGAGCTCTTCCCAACAACGGCTATATGACGGTAAGAGCCATCTTTTACAAAAAGGTACAAAAGCTGTTCCTGGAGCGGCACCCTTTCAAAAAGTACTAAATTGTACATTTAGGGCACTATTATGCACCCCTAAATAAGGAGTTTCTGAGTTGATTGATGAACGGTTTATCTGATCTGTGGTTTGTGGTATTTCTCATTCCTCCATGTCTTGCCCACAGTGTAGTCTCTAAAGCACACTTTTTTGTTAATGTGTCTTGTCCAGAAGGTGGCGTCTCAACCCTGCTAGTGTGTCCACATGACGGCGTTTCAGGAAAGTACAGTAATAGTTCTATCAGTTTTAGAAACGACACTTTACCACTACCGAAAAATATTAATGGGATGATCAGAGGACGCCACCTACTGGCTGAAAAACGAATTAAAAGCTTGATTGGTCACACCACCGCAGATAGTTATTATCCACTCTGTTCTAGCATTGTGCAGTTCAATAAATGAAACTCAAATGCTCTTAGATTCACAAGATATATTAAACTCTTTAACATCAACAATTTTGGTTCATTTTTAAAACATATTTTAGATGCTATTTTACCATTTCTTTTAAGTTTTCACCACATTTAATCAACATTTCACTAGTTAATTTCAGTAGTGTTGTGATGTGACAAAATGACATTTTATTGAAAGTATGAATTATAGCTACAATTATTAAAATGCTGCGAAAAATGTTTTAGATTATTGTCATGTTACACTGCAGGACAAGGTATCAAGCTATTCTGATACTTTGTAAAGTAAAGTTTTTAATTATAATGCAGGCAATAGATAGATAGATAGATAGAAAGATAGATGTGCAGTGTTGGGGGTAACACATTACAATTAACGCGAGTTACGTAATCAGATTACTTTTTTCAAGTAACTATAAAGTAACGCATTACTTTTTAATTTACAAGAGAATATCTGAGTTACTTTTTCAAATAAGTAACGCAAGTTACTTTTTTTTCCAGTTTATTGATTGACAGCTCTCCTGTCCCCATGTTGAGAGAAATCAGAAGATGTTACTGTAGCTCTAAAATAAATATGTATTTCATATTTCATAAATAGTCCAATCACTGTAATTTCACTGTAATAAATATTTTTTAAATTGATTAAACCAAAAGATGAAAATATTAGATAAAAGCTGTTATTTTTCTCTTTAGACAGCAAAATTATGCCATGTCATCTGCCCTTTTTATTGTATTATATTAGCAGCTATATTTTATTCTATATTATAGTACCATATATAGTAGATTTTAATTAGCAGGGATCTGTTTCTCATTTCCTGCATGTCAAGTATATCTAGTGAAGGACCCCTGTGAGTCAGCAGACGTCAGCCGTTCCCCTCAGAGTTGCTATATTGTCATGATTGAATTATTATTTTGTTTATTTGTTCTTAGTGAATGTCAATGATAATAATAATAATAATAATAATACACTCTTAACTTAAATAACACTTTGTAGAGCCATTAAACTCAATGAAAGTTTAAACTCATTTTCTGATATGTTTAAGCTGAGTAAACGTTTTTCTTTCTTGATTTGTATTTGAATATTTGCACAGGAAGTGAGGTAGAAAGCAGGAACAGGCTGGTGCAGAGAGATCCTGGAGCACATGCTGAAACATCAGTAAAAGTGCAGTCAGCAGTGTTGCGTAACAGGACTCCTGCGGACCGAGGGCTCTGTCAGACACTTGATATATTCTGCCTTCTGCATTTCTTATTCACAAAATAATGCAATATCATTTTACAGTTTTCAGTTCTCTTGGAAGACAGTCTTGTTATTTTTTAAATGCCTGCTTAATTTCAGACCCTAGGTTTGTTCTCGTCTGAAACGTGAGGGCATCTGATCTCAGCTGACATGGGAAGAGAGTGCTGGTTTTGATGCTGATAGAAGCTGAAGTTGGAGACATATAAGAGGCTCTGAGAGTCCCTCACGAGTCACAGCTGCGTGAGCCGTGTTTGTATTATTTAATCAGCCCACAAAACCTCAAGCTCCCGCTCTTTTCAAGTCCTCTCTCTTTACGAAAAAGGGCTTGAGTTCTAAAAGTCATACAGCACCTACAAGCTGATAAAAGTCCTTTTAAATTTTGAATATTAGATTATTTAAATGTTATATTCATGCCACAATTAGATTTTCCATAAGGTTACATTATTCATCAGTCATTTGTTAGTTGTCAACCGATATCTTGCATTGCAAACAAGTCAGTCAAACTGTTAGACCTTTAGGGGCCGTTCACACAGAACATCTTTGCATTTAAAAAACGTGAAAAGCAGGGCAGTGGAAGGAAAAAAAAAATCACAAGGTTTCAAGATGTGTTTTTTAAAAGCTGAAATCCCTTGAAATGTAACTTTTGATTTATAATGCTGTGCAATGAGCAATACACTGCAAAATACGTAAAAAAAAAGATCTAAAACCATCTAGCGCATGTTTACATGTGTGAACAGCCCTTTAGAGAGTTAATTGACTGTTAAACAATCAAAAGACTGTTAGTTCTAATACAAATTATGTGTATAG